CAGGGGCAGCTCTCTGGGTCTCAGACGAGCCACATTTTGGGGTGTGCAGGGCACTTTTTGACACCAGAGAGAGAAGGAAAGGCTCTGGCAGGGCACAGAGCCCTCAGTGCCAGCCCAGCCCCCCAGGTGAGGGGTGTTTTGGGCCTGTGGGGTGGAGAGAAAGGGGCTGAGAGCCCCTGTCCTGCTGACAGCAGGGACTCAGGGCCTGGGGTGCTGCATGAACCCTGAGAGTGGGGACAAACCCTCCATTGCAGCTCAGGCCAGCCCCTGAGCATCACCTCCGCTGCAGGGGCAGGTGAAGCTGGAGAAGTTTGCCTGAGCCAGCCGTGGATCAGCTGCCTGGCACCTGCCAAGCCGGGTGCAGACGTGGAGCTAAGGGGGACCCCTCTCTCACCTGGCAGGGGGTGCCCAGGGGAGGCAGAGGAGCCTTCCTCTTCCTCGGGGTGCTATTCTTCTCCCTGACAGATGACTGGCTGGGTGAAGACGTCTATGGAGACACCAGGGCAGCGGGGACATCACATATAAAGTGGCCTCCCTCCTTCCTGACCCATCGCCACCTTGGAGAGCCCCAGAGCTCCTGGGGACCCCCACCCAGGGGTGGGGACCAGCCCTGATGAGAGGTGGGCAGCCAGGCAGGCCCTTACCTGGGATGTCTGCTCAGTTGACTCCTCTTCTGTGGGGCAGAGTGGGAGGAAAGAGAAATTGGGGAGGTTTAGGGGATTGTAGGGGTGGGTGCAGTAGGCAGAGCCCTTCAGGGGCCAGGGGCACCCGTGGATGTGCTCATACGAGGGCAGGAACTCGGGGTACACGCAGACACACGTGCATGGGGGACACGTGTGCGTACAATGGGCACACATGTGGAGAGACAAATCCAGGGGTACGAGAGGAGGTGGAATTGCAGGGAGGTACACGTGTGCAGACACGGGGAGACACCGACATGCACATGCAGACACAGTTACAAGCACATGGGCTGATACACATGTGAACATGTATGTGCAAGCATGTGCAAGACACCAAGACAGGCAACCGAGGCTCAGCACCACTTCCCAGCCCTCAGCTGGTGACAGGATGGGCAAAGACCCCCCCCTCCAGCACGTAGGAAAAGGGGACACGTGTCCCACAGCCTTGCTCAGCCTGTTCCAGCCATGAGTTACCCATCCCTGCCCCAAAGCACCCTGCAGGGTGAACCACCCCCTCCCCCCATGGGTCCACTCCCTGGGGACAAGGAGCCCCAGGGTGGCCCGGCTGCCGTACCGCTGGCCCAGGACCGGCGCTGAGCAGCCTCCTGCAGGAAGTGCTGGATGAGAGCGTTGCCCGTGGCCAGGCTGTAGCGTGTGGCATCGTGACCTGCGGAGTCCACCACGGCCACCCGGGCACCGGCGTTGCCACCGCCTCCACGCTGCCATTCTCACAGGCCAGCATCAGGGCTGTCCTGAGCAGAGTGGTGACAGGAGAGGTGACAGGGGGGGTCATTCCCTCCATCTCTCCATCCCCCCTCAGTCCTCACCAGTGCAGACTCACCTCCCCTGCAGATCCTGGCTGTTGATGGCCGCGCCGCGGTGCAGAAGGTACCGGCACAGCTCTGAGTGGCCCGTCTTGGCAGCGAGGATCAGCGGTGTGGAACCATCCTGGGCAAGGTCAGGCTGGGTGAGGCTGTGCAGATGAAGCTCAGAACC